TGCATCCGCTCGCCTGGCTGCTCTCGCCGCCTCCCGCTGCCCCCTCCCCTCCCATTCCCTGTCCCGCCTCCCCCAGCGCATCACTCTCCCCGCATCAAGCAGGAGCGAGGCTACAGCGCCCACGGCGCCTACTCGCTGTCCAAGCTGGCTGACATGCTATTCACATTCGGGCTGGCAGCCCGCCTGCAGGCGGCTGGCTCGCCGCTCACCTGCAATTGCCTGGACCCAGGTGAGGGCCTGCAGTGCAGTGCCCTGGCCCAGCCAGCTGCAGGCGCTTGAAGGGGCCAGCCGTGGATGGCGCCATCATGGGATGGCCTGCCGCGCCGCGGCTCACTCTTTCGCTGGCCTGCAGGCCAGCTGCCTGCATGCTGCGCTGGCCCCCTTCCCAGCAGCCCACTCATGCACACACCGCTGAGCCACCACCCGCCTGCCCGCGCATTTGCAGGCACGGTCAACACCAAGATGTTGCTCGCTGGGTGGGGCCCCATCGGCATGCGCCTCCAGGCGAGAGGCGCGACGCGCCCGCGCATGCTGCTGCCGCGCCTGCCTCCCTCCTGCTGCCTCCCGCTGGCCGATAGCACCGCCGGCGCATTGCGTCCCACCCCACGGCTGGGCCTGGCTGCCAGCCAAGGTCCTGGCTGGTGCTGCCTGCCTCTGAGCGGCAGCCTGCCTGCCCCTGCCTGCCGTGCCTGTGCAGGATGCCGACGACGAGCTGCGAGCCGCTACAGACCCCTCACTGGCGCGCGTCAGCGGCGCCTACTTTGTCGGCGGCCGCCCTGCCCGCTCTCCGGCTGTGGCATACGACCAGGAGGTGCAGGCGCGGCTGTGGGGGGTGCTGGAAGAGCAGACGGGGGCGGTGTGGAGCGTGTGAGGCGGAGGGGTGGGCAAGCGGACAGCTTGGCTGTCGGTGCCTGGCAGGCCAGTGCGATGCCTGTGTTGGGGCGACCAGCCAGTCATGCGGCCTGTGTTGCTCCTTCCCTGCCCCCATTGAGTGGGCGCATTCCCCCACCGCCTGGGAGGCGAGTGGGCATTGCGGCGGCTGTTGTGTTGGTGCTCGCCTGCCCCCAAAGCGGCCATGGACTCATCATCGTTTACATGTTGCAAGCAATTGGGGGCTAACTCCAGACCAGCGGGGGTCAATGCATAGGGTGGGCGGGGTGCGGCGTTGCTGCGTCATTGCACAAGGGTTTCGAGGCGGACTGCTGACGACACCGATAGCAGTGCGTGCAAGCGAGAGGGGAGCGAAAGCAAGCGTACGGCAGAGGCAA